TGCAACCCCAGTTCCCTCACTGGTGAGGTGGGGTGAGAAGCAGAAAAGGCCTTGATGCTGAGTGAGTGTTGCTCAGCAATACTGAAAACAAGCCTTTGTTATCAACACTGTTTCCAGCACAAATTTAAAACATCTTTGTGCCCAAGCTAAGGTAGGTCAGCCTTTTATGCAAGATTAGCTTCCAATTTTCTCAGTTAAATGGAGTAGCTGTGGAAACTATTTGAGCAGTTTCACTTGAAATAAAACTTCAGCTTTGATGCTTTTAGGAAGTGAGCCTCTAAGAGATATTTTTTTATCATTTTTCAAAGACATGCTGAGGCCATCTGAATAAACTCTTACTCTCCAACGACAACAACTACCATAAAAGATACAGATACACAAGAAACACGGGAGTAACATAACTCACTAACAGAGAACAAAGACGTAAAGAAATACATACATGAAAATCACCTGGTTTTGTGGCAATCTGACAGACAATTGGGCCTTGTGGTGACTAACGCTGATGAAAAATTCTGTAACTCCATCATAGATGTGTTCACCAGTACCAAGCAAATTTATTATTCTGTGAATGACTAACTTAAACAGAATTCTTGGCAGGTTGCTAACAGTCTGTTCCTTTATCTAACTCACTGATCCATCTGACATTATTTTCTTTCTCCATTTCTACTTCCAGTGATGGAACACCATAAACTTTTGATATGCACATTTACCTAGTAAGTACATCTGTGAAATATTTTGCAGTGCTGAAGTCTTTTCTTTTTGACCTTCCTCTTGATTTTGGGGCATCTTAGAACTTAAAATCATAAAGCAGATCCTTTAGTTTTCTGTCAAAGTGTGGCTGCCCCCTAAACACTGGCCTGTTTTCTTTCCTCCTATTAAACCACCTCCTCTTTCACCATCAGCAGCTCAATTCTCTGTGTCAAATTTTTGCACAGAATTACTAATCAGCCTGGTTGCCATCCCATTCCCAGGTGAGAATTATTCACAACACGAAATATTTTTTCTGTTGAGATCTTAAAGCTCTGTTTTCCCTATCACCTGCTTTCCAAACAGTGGTATTCCTTGGAGTCTCCAGTATAAGGAAATGTTCATGCAGTGAGGGCATTGCAGAAACAAATCTGCTATTCATCTTGGAATATCTGTTAGTCTGAGTACTTTGCAAATGTGGAACATGCTGGGCACGTGACATAGCCCATGAGTAGTTCAATAAATAGAGATGTTCTGTCAAATAATACAGAAGTCTTGATGGCATCTTATTTTGGGATATTAATGCAACTGTGGTAGGAAATGTCTGGAGAAGTTTCTGCTCATTGGTTCATAGAAAAGACATCTACCTAGGATAGGTATGGAGATAAAGGCATGAGGAATAAGGAAGATGTGCCTTGTAATAAGGAATATGACCAGTTCATCACTATTATAAGAAAATCAAACATTAGACCATCTTAGTTGTTTTGAGGTTTGACTTTTCATTATGAACACATCTCAAGGTCTTTTCAATCTGTCCACCTTACCATATAGCATAGTGTCTTAGAAGATACTGACCAGAGCTCATCTCTTTTCCTTTTTTCCCCAGTATCATAAGGCATCTTAACATATTTGACAAAACAAACTAATGTCCAAAAAGATGTCATAGAACAGTGAGATGTGTTCCCTCTTCACTGCAATCATAAATCACACATTTGAACCTCAGTTCAGCAAGTTAACTAGGAATCTGAGGCATGACAGCAATTTTTCTTAAGAATATCAACTCTCCTTATGATCAGAATAGGAATCTGCTTTGAGAGCTGGAGAGAAACCTGGTGAAGATTATGTGTGGTCCTGAGGGACTCACGTTAATTGAACATCATGGTAGTGACTTGGTAATTTAACATAGGCCATTTCTAAAGGGAGAATCAGTCTGGAGTTGTGCACACCTATCTCATAGACAAGATGAATGCTATTCACAATGCTGAGGGGTTAAGGAGAATAAGAAATGATGAATTAGGATTACAGATTTATATGCCAAGTGGTGCAATTGGCATAAAAATGACATACGTATTTATCCCTGAAGTATGATTTTTCTCAGGTCACTCTTGCTCTTAGTCACTGCACTCCCTTTTTCCAGTAGGAAGAAAAAAATCCAGTAGGTCTCTAGGCTACGCTTCCCAACCCAGCTTAACAAGTTTAACAGGATTTTCTGGTTGGATGTTAATTTTGTTCCTGTACTGGACACTGGAGCCTAAACAGCCAGTATGTTCAGTGTTCCCGCATATATATACACTTCCTTTCTGTAGTGAGGAACAATGTCTTACATAATTTAGCAGCTATCTCCAGCTAAGAACTATAAAGTCTATTCAGCTGAAGCCACAGCTATATAGTCTTTGCCTGTAAAGGTATTGTTGTACATAGGCCAGTGCTCACCACCACCTGTGTTCAGTAATGCACTAATTTTCTAAATCCCTTCTACTGCAATATCTGAAGTGTGTAACTGCTCCAACTGAATTTTCTTAAAATGCAGTTATAATAGTTTGAGTTTTCCCTCTTACCTGTCAGAAAAGGAACTTCTTTTCTCCCAGAGTGAACAGCAAGGGTAAGTTGCAAGTGGCTAAGATTGAACTTTTGTCATTACCTAGACTTATCCAGAGGCTGAAGTTTTATTCCTGGGCTGTCCTGCTGAGTTCAGTTCAATGAGAAGGGATGCGTGTGATATGGTTTTGCCTACGTGACTATAAATGCATTTTGCGTTTTCAAGCTCAGTTTTAAGACTAAATTAAGCATACTACGTTTACTACAACAACATACATGCAGTTTGACCATACCCAGTCAAAATGCCTCCCCTATAGTTTCCCTCCCAGAAACAGTGGTAGCAGGCTGGAAAATCGCAGTTGACCCACTCTCTTTGGGTCAGTGCACCCAGCCGGGTGAAACCCTTTGAGAATTAGCATGTGCCATTCCTGACACCCTCCACTTTTGCTAACTGTGAAAGTCTGGTAAGCACATCTCCACCCCAAACAGGGGCCCAGGCAAGTGAGCTCAGGAATTCAGGCTGTTGGGGTGAAGAGACACGGCAAGATAACTTCAGGAAAAGTGGGGTGTGTATGCCAGTGTGTATGTTATGTAAAGGAAGAGATCACAAACTCGAGCAAGGATCAAAATGTTGGATTCACCCTAAAAGGCAGTGCAGAGTAAGAACAGTGTTTCAGGACAGGACTTAAAAACAGATGCTCTGTTTTGTATTTCTTCCCCTTTTAGTACAGAGATTTAGGAGGATGCTGTCAGTCTGTGAAAGCATGAATACTGGTGAAATCAAATCCTACCATTTCTCCTCCAAACCGCAGGGACCCAGTTTCCAGGTGATCCCTTGAGATAAACAAGGTTAACAGCTATGGACATGAGATCAACCACCTCTGCTGAGAGCTAAGTGGGAAATTTCCTGAATTTCCCCATTCTCCTGCTCACTGGGGAAGTTGAGAGTACCAGCACCATGACTAAAGCAAGGAAACAGCCTCTCTCCCCTCACTGCTCCCTGACTGCTTCCTGTCCCTGCGCTCCCCCAGAACTAAGAGAAGGGCATCACTTGAGTAAAAGGTAGTAGAGCATGGCTGAGTTGATGAATAAAGTACCATGAAAAGGTAGCAAATTCACAGAAGTTTAGTACAGCACTAATAGAAGCACTTACGAGAAATGAGGAAATAACTAAATCTGCAAGAACCAAGAGCCATGCCCTGAGAAGCAAGAGCTGGGGAACGCTATATATGAAACTCCAAACCCAAAGAACAACTTTGCTTGAACTTGGAGCTCAATAATGTGGTAAATACCCACTCCTGGACCACGAGTGCCCCTTACTCACATAAGTCCCTTCCTCATAGAGCATGTGCACTGTATCTTTAAAAGGAGATGAGAGAACACAAAACCAGTGACTACACCTGTAGGTTGTTGCATATACAGAAAATACCAGCTTTTTATTGTTCGAAGTCCATAAGAATGAAAATCTGACATACTGAAAGTGTACTAGCTTTGTGGATATACCACCTAGAACCCATCCCTGAATTGATATGATATAAAAACATATATCTCGACTCTGTATATGGCTTGCAGGCCGGTTCTTTACACCGGCATAACTAGGACGAGATTCATCGGGAAAAGGCCATTTCAGGGTTAGAGGGAGGCTCCGACCCCCGCGGGTTCCTACCGCGCCCAACGCAGTCTCCGAGCGTTTCCACTGACGAAATGGAACACCCGGCTCAGAGCCGAGCCCGGCACCTCCAAGGCGCAGGAGTTTCAGCACCGAAGTGGGGGACCTGCGGACAGTATCAAGGTAGCTCGAAACCTCCGCGCATCCCAGACCCCCCTCGCCCTACGGTTTTTCAAGGGAGAAAAACGAGACTAGCAGTGAAAAAGCCTAGGGGCGGGGGAAGCCGGAGGTGGGGGCGGGGGTGGAAGATAAGAAACAAACGTACCAGGAAGTTCTTAAGCTTCTTCCGAGTGAACTTTTTAAAGGTGAAGCGCCTTTTTAACCCGAAAACTGCTGGGCAGTACAAAAGCCTAAGAGCGGCGGCCAATCTTTACGCAGCGCGGGCTTTTCGAAATCTGTCGGACGCCGGGGGCGGACGGAGGCACTTCCGAAAGCAGCTCTCCTGTCTCCAGGAGAAACCACAGGGAGCTGCAGCACCCCCACTGCCAACTTCGCTCCCAAGAGCCTGGACGCCCTGAGCGCTGCTCAGTTACCAAAGGGGTCTCTAGGCTCGCAGATTCCTTGCGGATACGGGACAGTATTTGCACCTACGCCAGCGGATTCTCCTGAACCAAGCTGTGCTGCCATGCTGCTCAGCACCTGTGAGGAACAAAACCGCGAAAATTTATTGCCGAGATCACCTAAAGTAAGCAAGAGCAAGGGAGAAAAAGGGGTTAACATGGTACGTGCGCGCACACACATACACACACACACACATACACACAAGGAACCTAAGAAAAAGTTTCAGCTCTTTTTGTGGAGACTTGGGTGGCTCTTAAAAGAGCCGTTGGGTTTATCTGCAATGCAGACAGGATTTTATCCGAACTATTTATTTCTTCTTGGGCGCTGCCTTCTTCGCTTTCGCCGCTTTTGGCTTGGCCGCCTTCGGCTTTGCTGCTTTCGGCTTCACCGCTTTCGCCTTGGCTGGGCTCTTCGCTGCTGCCACCGCTTTTTTGGGCTTGGCAGCCTTCGTCGCCTTTTTAGGGCTCTTGGCTGCTTTCTTGACCGCGCTGGCCGCCGGCTTCTTGGCTTTTTTGGGGCTCTTCTTTGCAGTCACCGCTTTCTTGGGCTTCTTGGCGGCGCTGGCGGGCTTCTTAGCCGCCGGCTTCTTGGGCTTAGCTGCGGTTGTTTTTTTCTTGGGAGCCTTTTCCTTCACTTCTCCAGGTTTCTTGCTGAGGCGGAAAGAGCCCGAGGCGCCGGTGCCCTTGGTTTGCACCAAAACACCTTTGCTAACGAGGCTCTTGATTCCCAGCTTGATACGGCTATTGCTTTTCTCCACATCGTAGCCGCCGGCGGCCAGCGCCTTCTTGAGCGCGGCGAGGGAGAGCCCCTTGCGCTCCTTGGAGGCGGACACAGCCTTGGTGATGAGCTCGGTGACGCTGGGCCCCGCGGGCTTGCGGGCTTTGGAAGCGCCCGCTGCTTTTTTCGGCTTCTTGGCGGCGGGAGCCTTAGCGGGCGCCGGAGCGGCGGCAGCGGCGACATCGGGCGCGGCGACAGGAGCGGTCTCAGCCATGTTGCCTTGCGGGATCCTGGCGAACAATGGAGGCCGCGCCGCTGCTGCCCCTTTTATAGCAAAGCCGCGCGCGCTGATTGGTGCGCGGCGCGCGGCTCTGCCGCCGCGCCCGTTGTGTTTCTTCCCGGTCCAAAAAGGACTTTTTCCTCACGAAATTTGCTGCCGATGCACCCCATTTCTGCCCGAGAGGAGAGGAGGGAGTCTGTCCTACAAGCTAATGGAGTTTCCCATTGTAAGGAGCAGACATGAGGGAAACGCGACCGCCGAAACTTAGTGGAGTGAAGCCGCAGAGACCTCGACAAAGAGAAACCTTCTGTTTTTACTTTAAATTAAAATTATACCATGGGCTAAATGGGCACAACTGGCATGACATCTTGTTCTTTAGAAGGTTCTCTACAGAGCAGATCAAAGCCGGAGTGGTTTGGAGGGTTGATCTCAGAGTAAATTGACATTAAACCCGAGGAAGTAACACAGTTTCGCCCATGGTCCCAGGCGCAGATGCCGAGCTGACTCCCTCGGCTGAGCCGCTTCCCTCCGAAATCACCCCTCTCAGTGTCGCTTCAGAAATCCCGGTGTCTTAGCTAATGCCCTGTGGGGAGGTGTTTGTGCTTTAGCTGCGTGTGTGAAAGTCGATGTTACTTTCCTTCTGCTTAGGTATTTCACTGGAACAAAGCTCCGACGTACCCCTTCTTGAAGACTGATGTTCCTGTCATCGCACTTTCAATGTAATTTTAATGAAGTCTCTTTCGTTTGTTAAATTCGGGAGTCAGGGTAGTTGCAATTGCAGTATATCACTTTTTTTACTTCGTTTCCAAGGCAATGTTCCTTTCTTTTAAATACCAGTTAACAGTCTGCCTGCAATAGTATTGTGTTTCATACACTAGATATCCGGCTACCATCAGCTCCTGAAAACGTGTAAACAGATATATTCAGGGCTAAAAGTAAATATAAAAGGGTGAATGAAATGTAGATAATATGTAAAGTTCCCACAACTGGGACTGTGAAAATAAAAAAACCACAATAACTTGAGTTTTTGTGAACTGTCATATTCTTTTCTAATTACCTGTGTTTGATTGGAAAACCTAAAAGGCTACAATCAGAGCAGGTACCAGATTTATTCTAGTAATTTGGAATACCGTTTTATAAAAAATCTCTGTTTGGAGGTAAATGTTGAAAAAAATACAGCGTAGTAAGGTCTCTTTCAGTAATCTATAAAACAAAGGTAAGTATGTGATTTGGATGATCTGGTTGCGATAATAATCATGACAAAACTGCAAAGTGTACTACAGGACTGTGCATTGTTCATTTATTAAACACAGAAATGGGAAATTGCATTTAATGCCCATTTAATCTGATGCTTATTTCATATAATGGGGGAGGATTTAGGTCCTCAGTGACATTACTGAACACTGTATCAGAATACAGACAATGAGGAAAAGTTTTTTTACTAAACTAGTAGTAGTAATACCATAGGCACAAAGAAACAGAGGTCAACACCTCTCAGAGGCACTGGAGCTAACATTTTGTAATTCTATAGTCCACTGATGTCTGTATATAAGTGGTTTGTTTGTGTCAAACTATTTATACTTAATGGCAGCTTTCAGTGAATTCTCTGGACTTGTACAAGGAGTACTTTAATCCTCATCAAACTTTGAAAGACTCGTAGTAATCTTTTTATTTCTCCCTAATTCCTTTGGGCAGAAATTGATTCCAAGATTTCTGGAAATATAAACAGAACGTCAACTATTTTCTTTGCTTTCATTGTCACAATGTTTTATTGACTGACTTGGAAACTGAAGTGTTTAGTGATCTGATGCTGATCTCTCAAGCCCATCATTGTTTCATGTAAGTTATATTGCTGAACACTGGAGATAATCTCCACCCACCATGTGTGAGAGATTTGTGACCAAGAAGGGACAGATTGGTAGCATCAGGTTGTGGATACTTCTAGGAAAAAATCATTATGATCTCCCCTACAATGCAGACCAAAACAAAGATGGGCATAAAACCAGAACACAGGAAGACCTGAGCATTGATGCAGAAATAATTTACATCTCTGGCTTTTTTATTCAGATGCATTTTGCTTTTGGATGTTCAAAGATAATGTCCTAGAATCATCCAAGTATTTGTATTTTAATCCAGTAAGTAGGTTTTCATTTTTCAGCCACTGTAGATTTAAATTTTATTTTTCAGCCACTATAAAATATAACCCAAAACAGACAGCAAGTGCTCAAATCAGCAGCTTGGTGCAGTTAACACAGGTATAGCAGGAATGTTTCTCCAGGCTTTGATAGTCTCCTGTTTCTTTAGGTAGAAATTGTATTTGGGTATCATCACTCCATTTGCCTTCCTTTCATTTTCTAAACCAGCAAGTGTCAGTAGTAATACTGAAGTATTTTAGTGAAATGTTTTCCTTCCAAGAAATAAACACATTTATGAACTGGCACAGCCTTTTGCAGAGATTCTACCCAGAGATGTTTTTAAGTGATTAATAGGAAAAAAAAAACCCATTGACAGGAAAGTGTGGTGGGTTCCAGTTCTGCATCAAAATCCCATACCTGCTTTGGATTAATTCAACTTTATGCAGATTGTTTACAGAAACTGGACATTCCCCTTCCTCCTATTCCAAAGTAGAATTGGGTAGGTAGTAACAAATGATTGTTTTCCTATCCCTGTCTTTGAACGACCAGCTTCAAAGCTGATGCCAAGCACAGGTGTCCTACTGTTCACTAAATTATGAATTGCTGATCCTTTCTGCTTAGAAGAGTTATAGGCTCCCATTGCTTTCCTCTGTGGCTACTGACGTTTCTTTTCTTAAATGACAAGTTAAAGTCAAAATGTTCTATAACAAATGTTGATTCATTATTTTCAATACCCCATGTGTAAATGAACAACAGCCGATTTCTTTATCAGGAGTTTTGGTTTCCACAAGGATGAGACCTTGGCTTGGTTGTAGGGCAAG